GAATCTTCAATATCTGCAGAATGAATTACAATGACAGCTTATGAATAATTATCAGTATGTGATATTTAATGTAATTTTTTTTTATTTTTAAAAGCATAGATTTTGCCCAGAGCGATGATGTCTGTTTATTTAACAGGAGATGTTAAAAAAATCAGCTAAATGTAACGCCAACAGAATTTTACCATCAGTGTTGTTAAGATGCAGCAGTCGCACAAAAAATGTGTTTGCATGAAATAAACCAAACAGATGTATTAAAAAAGTGTCAGAGTCAGTTTATTGATGTCTGTAATGTAAAAGGAGGAGGTCCGTGTTCATTTTGAACCATTTCTATGTCCTAAAAAGGTGTTTTAGACCGTTCATGGTCCGTCTGTGTTATTTGCACAGCGTGGAGCTGTTTGTGTTTGTGCACTCACACAACACAGAGAAACAAACAGCTCATTTTTGGGGAAGTTTCTTCTGCTTTTTTCTTCATATTGGATGACAAGAAAAATGTCTTTTGTGACTACTGTCACTCAGGCTTCAACCTTTGTGGTCAGATGAGTAGAGGATACTATAATATCCTTTAAACAAGCATTTTGAAAACATGATTTATCACATGTCTTCTCAGGTTTTGTGGTAAAATAATTAACTGGCTATTTTGAAAAGGGATTATTATAATTTCTATATTATAAAATGACACATTAAACCTTTTTTCACGTTATCTAATTCAAATCACGTAAAATTTTCCTACTGCCTTTTTGAACTTTTAATAGAAACTCTAATGATCCTTCAAAATAAGAAAAACGCATCACATCCCTCCAGTGCTGCACAGAGAACACTCCCACTGGTCAAAGGGAAACTGAAAGCATTTCCTCACAGGGAGCGGCCCCCTTTCTGCCCTTATGGAAGGGCATGGACCAAGATTATCAGTCTGTGGAGTGAGGAATCCTATTTCAGTCGATTTTCTTTCACTTTGTGAGTGTGAGACTTCACCGTGGACAGCAGAGCTGCACATTACGAACCTCCAAGGTATTTTGACCCCTCTGATCCGGGGCTTTTTGTGGTTTGTGGGTTTTTTCTGTTCTCTGGTTGATGAGTTAATGATTACGCATGCTTGTTGTAGTCCAGGCTGAACACAGAGCTATCGCACACCGACGGAGGCCTCTGCTGCAGGTTTTGAGAGGTCTCCCTGCTTCCGTGCACCTGTTTCTGAGCACACTGATCCGCACAGGCCTGCTCCTAATGCCAGTCAGGCGTGCAGAGCCAGGGAAACAGTAAAACCGGAGGACTGCAGCCTGGCGGCTGATCCTGATGCTGTAAAGGCGCTCGGGGGCCCTCTAGTGGCGGCCTTTGGAACAGCGTCTCCC